AATTGTGCTATATCAGAGTTTGCTACACGGTTTATATCACCACTATTTCGAACATCTTGATAGGCATTGAATGCAACATAGTTGTTCATATGATCATCATCTTCTTGGCCACCTTCAGAATCCTTATCACTCCATGTGACATTGAGCAATTTCTTCATCTTCATCTTCTCTTTCTTCTTAAGAGTATTAGCATACTCGGACTGAATGTGGCTGTAAATGTCGCATTCTTGACATTAGATACCTCTATTTTTCATCTTCACTTCTGAGTTGTTTGCTGCAGCTTTGTTTTTCTTGAAGTTGTCGGTGTTGCCAAAGTTTGGGCCTATTCCCTTACTATTCATACTATTCATAACCTTGTTGAAATTCTTCGACAATCCTACAATGAACTCGGCCAAGTCTTCTTGGTCATCAGAATATGCTTCTTCAACTTCGACTTGGAAAGCAATTCCATTCTCCTTTTTACCTTTCTCCTTCTTACCTTTCTCCTTATTGTTTTGATCTAGGTTCATTTTATACGTCTACAAGGAGCCCATTAACTTGTCAACCCCCATAGAGTCAACATCATTCGCATGATTAATGGCGGTGACTTTGTAGGTGAATCTCGAGGATAACGATCTCGACGCCTTCTTGACCAGTTTTGCCTTTGGAATTTTTTCACCAAGAGCAAACGATTCATTAGTTATGTCATAAAGATGAGAATTGAAATCTACAATTGTTTCAGTTTCAAGCATTCAGAGATTTTTAAACTTGGTAGCCAAAATCTACAACTTGGACAATCTTATTGTTGCGATGCCCTCAAGAGCGGTCTCCAAAATCTCCCACGCATGCTTCACTGAGTCACTTGTAGATATTAACATGAACTTTTTGGCATCGATCCATTGAATATATCTTTGAGAGCACGAGAGTTGTAGTTAGCCAACTTTTCTTCATCAGTTGAACACGAGGCTTCAGGCTTTAGAGGCTCCTTCCCTTAAGCATCCTTAGTTACAGGATGAGTCTTGCCCTTTAGAACAGCACGCTAGGCCTTCCTATCTAAGACCTTGATGTATGCCTTCATTCGAACCTTCCAATATGAATAATTCGAACCATCAAGCAGAGGGGACGTACAACTGAACCTCTTTCCTTTAGAAAATCCATTTCAAATGTAACATGATCTCACCGAGCGAATGATCTGTGAACCGCTTTAATACCATGTGTTTGACTGATTGTACATTTGGTGTTCCAGATGGTGTTTTATCACAGTTTAGGACACGACTTAATTAATTAAGAGCCAGATTAACTCTGTTCAGTTTCTGAAGTAGAATAAAGTACTGAAATAAAAGGAGCACGCAATGTGATATCACAGTTTGGTGTGCACATATACGTTTGTGGGTAGGGCTGTTAGATTTCGACCCGAAACTCGACTAACTCGCCCTACCTGAGCCTACGCTACCCGAAAACATAAGATTTTTTTCGAATTCTGCCCAACCCGTACTGTGCGGATTGGGGCACGGGGCAGGCATCATGTGACCCGTCATTCCCCGACCTGGCCTTGTGAAGATACACGGTGTAAAAAAAAACCTATTCGGTAATTACTTTCACTTCTCTCTCACTTCTCAGTTCAGTCTCGCCTCCCCTTGCTGCCTCCTCAGTTCTCACTTCTCAGTCTCCCTCAGTCTCCGACTCTCCGTTGCTCTTCCTCTTCTCACAATCATTGTTTGCCGCCTGGCCCCCGTCGTTTCTTTTTCTTCTGAACATCGCGAAGTAAACGCGTTTGGTTGATAGATTTTGGCTGTGGAGTACTTCAATCCCAGAATAATAACCTCATTAAGAGAATTAATTATTTAGCTACAATAATTAACGTCTTTCCCGAGATAGAAAATCGAACTTAACCGTATTCTTTTTATTCTATGAATCACACGATTGCAATTTACTGAAACATTACATCTCAAGCACAAAGTGCTATAGATAGTACTCAATGTGGCATTATGCCATTCCAATCTTCTTTCTAAGTCATATATCAATATATGTGATAAATTGTATCATTTATTTTTTAGTTTTCATTTTTCTTTCAACACCCGTAGTATTTATCATTTTTCTTTTAATTTTTCACGTTTAGAGATTTATTCTCGCCGACAACTCAATCTAATTTTTTAAATCCCTTTTTCTCATTTTTCTTGATTGATTTCAATCCTTTATAAACAAAACCGCATAACTCCAATAACATCGATCAAGCTAGGAGCTATAACTGTGATGTCATAAATTAATTTCCTACCAAATTTAATTTACAAGGGATTAATTTCTCTAATTTCTATATAATTTCCGAAACATATATATATATATATATATGTGATTACCATATTCACAAACTTGAAATCATAAACACAATCGCTCAACTAACATAATTGATAAAAATTGAATGCATAATTATATTCGAATTCGATAAATTATTGTAATCGAATTATTTTCACCTTTGGTTCGCAGAAACGGAACTGTTAGTTCTGAATTTCATAACTTTGAATAATTGCCTGGTTCTCTTTCATGATTTAGATTTTATTGATCTTGGTATCTATGTGGATTGCATTAAAGGAAAACACACACAAAAAAACACAATTAAGAAAGCAGCCACAAGAAGCATACAACTCTTTGAAATCATACACACCAATATATGTAGGCCGTCTGATGTTCCATCTTTTAGTAAAGGAAAGTATTTTATCACCTTTATTGATGATTTTTTACGTTATGACTATGTCTATTTGTTACATGAAAAATTTCAATCAGTACACACCTTAGAGGTGTTTATCAATGACGTTGAAAGGTGAAAATTGTCAGGTCTGACAGACGTGGTAAATATTATGGAAAGCATGATGAAACTAGACAATGCCCTGATCCATTTGTTAAGTTCTTTGAAAAGCGTGGCATAATTGCTCAATTCACAATGCCAGGTACACCACAACAGAATAGTGTTGCAGAAAGGAGTAATCGTACTTTAATGGATATGGTTAAGAGTATGTTGAGTTATTCTACTTTAATCTTATCATTGTGGATGCATGCTTTCAAAACCGTTGTGTATTTGTTAAACAGTAAACCCAGTAAGGCAGTTCCAAAGACCCTCGCTCAATGCACAATGCCAGGTACACCACAACAGAATGGTGTTGCAGAAAGGAGTAATCGTACTTTAATGGATATGGTTAAGAGTATGTTGAGTTATTCTACTTTAATCTTATCATTGTGGATGCATGCTTTGAAAACCGCTGTGTATTTATTAAACAGTAAACCCAGTAAGGCAGTTCCAAAGACCCCCTTTTGAACAGTAGATAAGAAGGAAAGCCAAGTTTAAGGCACCTACATATTTAGGGTTTCCTAGCAAAAAGAATTTATAATCCACATGAAAAGAAACTCAACTCAAGAAAAACTAGTGGTTTCTTCATTTGTTATCTAGAAAAATCTAAAGGGTATATTTTATCGTCATAGCCATAGTACGAGAATTATTGAAATTAAAAACACGAGGTTCATTGAAAATGGCAAAATTCGTGGGAGTATGGAAACACGTAAAGTGGATATTCAAGAAGTTAGGGTGGAGATTCCTTTACCTAAAACTTCTCAAGTCGTTGTTTCTACGGTTACTGAACAGTTTGATAACTTACAAGAACAACAAATTAATGACCAAACTCTAAATCATGAAATTGTTGCCAATGAACCTGTAATAAATTAATCACATGAAGTAGCATTAAGAAGATCTCAAAGACAAAGAAGATCTGCTATTTCTGATGATGATCGAGTTTCGTTATCACAAGTCATGGAGAGTGTTAATTCAACTAAATGGTTAGACGCCATGAAAGAAGAGTTGAAATCAATGGATCACAATGAAGTCTAGAATCTTATTGATTTGCCAGAATTTTGCAAGAGAGTCGGATGTAAGTGAGTCTTTAAGACTAAACGCGACTCTAATGCCAATATTGAATGATATAAGGCCAAATTTATTGCCAAAGGTTTTACTCATTGCGTTGACTACAAAGAGACCTTTTCATCTATTTCTAAAAAGGACTATTTTGGAATTATGATGATATCGGTGGCTCTTATGACTTAGAGCTACATCAAATGTATGTGAAAATTACCTTCTTGAATGGGAATTTAGAGGAAAAAGTTTATATAGACCAACCTGAGGGTTTTTCAGTTGAAGTTGCCAAAGGTTTTACTCATTGCGTTGACTACAAAGAGACCTTTTCATCTATTTCTAAAAAGGACTATTTTGGAATTATGATGATATCGGTGGCTCTTATGACTTAGAGCTACATCAAATGTATGTGAAAATTACCTTCTTGAATGGGAATTTAGAGGAAAAAGTTTATATAGACCAACCTGAGGGTTTTTCAGTTGAAGGAAACGAACACATAGTGTGTAAGCTTAAGAAGTTAATATACAGACTCTTAAGTTCAATGAAACCATCACTTCCTTTAGGTTTAAGGAAAATACTGTTGATCTATGTATATAACTGAAGGTCAGTGGGAGCAAAATTATATTTCTGATTCTATATGTTAAAGATATCTTGCTAGCTACTAATGATCTTAGCTTGTAACATGAGATCAAGAAATTTCTCTCTAAGAACTTTGAAATGAAAGATATGAGTGAGACACCTTATGTGTTTGGAATTGAAATATTCTGCGATATATCAGAAAGATTGTTAGGATTATCTCCAAAAGCATATATTAATAAAGTTCTAGAGAGATTCAGAATGGAAAAGTGCTCTGCGGGTGTTGTTTAAATTCAGAAAGGAGATAAATTCAACCTTATGCAATGCCCAAAGAATGGATTGGAACACAAACAAATGGAACAAATTCCTTAGGCATCCATTGTTGAAAGCTTGATGTATACTCCGTTAAAGTAATACAGAAATATATGGATCAGTGGAAAGCTGTAAAGAAAGTATTGAGATGCTTGCAAGGAATGAAAGATCACATGCTCACTTATAGGAGATTTGATCATCTCGAGATAAGATATTCAGATTAAGACTTCGTTGGACGTGTTGATACGAGAAAATCCGCATTTGGCTATTTCTTCGTTTTGGCTGGAGGAGCGATCTCATGGAAGAGTAGGAAACAGTTTGCCATTGTTGCGTCTACTATGGAGGCTGAGTTTGTGGCATGCTCTTAGTCAAAATGCTCAATGCATTAATTTGGAAGCAGAGACTATGAGACAAGAAATAGACAGATGCAATGGGATGAATCTTTGAAAAGAATAATGGAAACCAAATCAACTAAAGACGCGTATAGATAACTCCCATTTGTTTCACACATAATCGTAAACAAGCCTTAACTACATAAAGGTAAAAGAATAGATTGAGACTTGCTTACTGAAGAAGAAACAAAAATTCAGATACGGAAAATAACATGAATGTTTAATTCAGAAACATATCGCTTACCTTTGGAATGGAAGCAGTATTGTGTAGTTCCTCTGTTTTGCTTCGCTTCATACCAAAGAAGAGTTCATAGATAAGACAGCCTATCGTTCAAAATGAGGAATTTTCATATTTAAAGAACCCCCAAAAAAAAAATGATTAAAGAGTCAACCATGGTTTATAAAGAGCACATGAGATATTCAACAAACAATAAGCTCCAAAATCGGGCGATATCCTTGGAGAGAAATTCGAACAAATATGTTTGTATCCTTGCCCCTTTGAATCTAAACATTCATTTTACATAAGAGGTGACAAAAATAGGAACTTTTAGAAGGCACTCCTAAAATATATCGGAAATCTCACACGTGTAAAAGTAGATATCACCTATCATATGCCTTTGTATGATACAACACTCACAACATTTCCACAAATGAAGCATCAAGATCTTCATTTTTTGCATCAAGCTAGGATAAAACATCAAAAGCATGCAGCTTCAAATCTAAGGTTGGTGTGTGATGGGCCCCCTAGACCTCCACTACGTTTCACTTACGCTAGGAGAAGGCCCAAAGTTAATCAGGGTGAGGTGGCAGTAGAAGGTGTTACGAAGAATGGTGAGGTGGAGGCTGACATGGAAGGAGCAAGCAGCATGGGAGAAAGAGTTGCTGCTGGGAATACGCAATAGTTCACTCTTCGAGAGAAGCCTCGGGATTAGGGGGAGGAGTTAGAAAACGGTTAGCAAGGAAGAAAGGAATAAAAGGAAGAGGAGGAAGGCTGAGAGGGTACCGAAGTTGTAATTGATTTTGCTTAACGAGCTTTGCTCTAGGGAGTGCAAGGGGTCACTCGAATACCCCCACGTCTCTTGTATTTTGTTCATTTCCTTTAGTAAAACTGTGTGAATTTTGCTTAAGAACCTAATCAATAGATCCAGACTTATCAGTGTGACAACAACATTGGTTAAGCAAACATTACCATGAACCTGCAATAACCAAAGATAGTAAGTTCTTATCTCTGGAATAATCGGCAGGTTTATTGTAAATTATCAAAATGTAATTATATGGACCAGACATTACCATCAGACTAGGATAATCTTTTTCTAAATTACTAAAATATAATTATATGGACTAGATAATCAATGTTCAGTTCGAAGGTTTGAAGTTCAAGACAAAAGTTAAGGAAAAACCGATGCTTATTGTACAAGAATTTAGTATAGTCAAAATTATGAAGTATATAAATGATAAAGACAAATCTTAAAACGAAGACATCGAAGAAAACTTACAGTCTAGAGGCGTTTCACACCATTACAACCAGGGGCTAAATGTCCATCTTGGGGATTACTCCCAGAAAGAGAGAGCAAAAATACTGGTGACCCATCATCCTGAGGATTAAGATGAACTTAAAGATGTAATTACATAATGCAAATCATACTCATACATACATATTCTAGGCGCAGATTATGTCAGATAAACGGAGCCTCTAAGATCAACAAAATGTTAATATCCCCTGGTTTTCCAAACTGAGTGTTCAATTTAAATCTGCCAAATACTTACAGAACAGTTTACCAGTATCAAAAGGACCATCAAGATCAAGCCAGATCAGATTCCTATACCATTTACTACGAGAAGGTATTTACCGTTGCAACTAAAACATCTTGATCTCAATTCAGGACGGTATTGTCCTAAACCTCTCATAATTCAGCTGAATTTTCCAATTAAGCTATTATTCTAACCTCAAAACAATAATTGTAGTAGCATAGAAAACACCAAAAAGAAGAAAACTGAATACACAGACATACAGATAAATATCCGCATGAAAATAAAATTAAGAACGAAAATGAAAATGAAAGTCTCTACAGAATTCAAATCTTTTTATCATAGTAATCAACAATACGGTCAAGGCTTTTTGTCACTAAATCAAACGCTTTAACAATAATCCAGTTAATGCTTTGCAAAAGGCAAGAACGAACAATAATTCAGCCAGACGCACCAATCAATATATATATATATATATATATATACACACACAATATAAAAGACCTAATAAATCTATACTTATCTTCAGAATGATGTGGAGGTTGATCAGCAGTTCAAAAACTGCATGCAATGCGAATTCATTGATAATTGAATTGTTTGAGCCGCCACTATCAAGAGTTTGAGTGGTCAAAAGAGTGGATAAGCAACCAGTTTAACTTTGACGGGACAGTTGTTGTCGCCTGCAGCTTCAGTTTTCCGCATAGCTTCCTGCAAATATAGGCAGACATGAATAATGTAACACATTGTAGGACCAGTCAACAGTATCCTAATGATGCAGGGACAGAGAAGGCAACCGGTCGATATTGGTCAGTGTCAATCGGTCGGCCTATATCGTCCGGTGACAGAGAAGGCAAAATTCACCGGTCAACCGGTGTTGCCTCAACCGATCAACTGCTGCGGTTGACCGGTTCTGCTCAACGGATATTTAATAAGACCGTTGAACAGCGATAATTTAAAATTTGTCTCAACCAGTCAACCGCCCCGGTCGACCGGTTCTCGGCAACAGGCAAAAAAAGACCGTTGGACAGTAAGCTTAAATAGAGAAAAATCATTTTCTCTCTTGGGGATTTTTTGAGACCTTGGAGAATTTATTGAGAGCTTCCAAATTTTTTAAAATCCAAAAAGGTTTCTCTGAAGTGTCAACATAATCATCATCTTCTCTAAATCTTTACTTCATTCTCTCACACATACTTGAGCCTACCTTGGATTCTCTTTTGATAGTGTGATTTCATCATCTGTTAGTCATTTTAATTGTGTAAAACCATTGTTAGGAGTGTGTAATTGAGTGTTTCACTATTAATAATCCTTACTTTAGTATTGGGCTTCTTGGTTGGTCGATCTCTGTAGAAAATCGACATTGTGTAAGAGGTTAGGCAAAGCCTCGGACAGAAAGATTCGTCATCTTGTAAGAGGAGTGATCGTGCCGGAAAATCGATCGTATAGTGGAAGAGGTCGAGAGGCGGAATATCTCGGCGACAGTGGATGTAGGCAAATTTATTTGTCAAACCACTCTAAATCTCATTTGCATCTCTCTTAACCCTATCTCTCTAATTTCCGCACTTTAAGTTGATAGTTGACATTGATTGAATTAACTCTTGGTAATAAGCTTATTGAACTTGTTATATGATATTAGATTGATTCATTTTGTGCATATCAAGTGTTTGTGCTATTGCATTAACTTACATAATTCTCTACACACCAAATGTTTGATAAAAGTATTGTGTTAAATTAATTGTCTATATTTGTTTTTATTCTTCGAATAATTGTATAACATATTCAACCTTGGGCCAACACAACTTTCGACATGAGGCTTGGCCATGTCAGTGAAAAAGGCCTCATAGAACTCAACAAACAGGGGCTCCTGGGTAAGGATAAGATTAGTGATCTAGAGTTTTGTGAGCACTGCATATTTGGAAAGCACAGTAGGGTCAAATTCTCAAAAGGAATTCATTGCACCAAGGCAACAGTGGATTATATCCACTTAGATCTGTGGAAAGCTTCTCGAGTTCCATCTCATGCTGGTGCTAGGTATTTCCTAACTCTGATTGATGATTACTCAAGGAAATTGTAGGTTTATATCTTGAAGAACAAGAATGATGCATTTCCTAAGTTTAAAGAGTGGAAAGTGCTCATTGATACACAAACAGGGAGGAAAGTCAAGAGGTTAAGAACTGACAATGGATTAGAGTTTTGTGCAACTGAATTTGATCATTTCCGTAAGGAGCAGGGCATAGCTAGGCATCACACAATCAGGAAAACCCCACAAAAGAATGGTGTTGTAGACCATTATGGAAACGGTGAGATGTATGCTGTCAAATGCAAACCTCTCAAACAATTTTTGGGCAGAAGCGGTAATGGTGGCAGCATATGTGATCAATCGGAGTCCTTCAAGGGCATTTGATCTAAAAAATCCTGAGGAAAAGTGGTCTGGAAGGCCACCCAAATTATCAAATCTCAGGGTTTTTGGGTGCACAGCGTATGCTCACATCAATCAAGGGAAGCTGGAACCAAGGGCAATCAAATGTAGGTTCCTGGGCTATCCACTGGGTGTCAAGGGATATAAGCTATGTTGTGTACAAGATGGCCAGCCCAGAAGTCTCATTAGTAGAGATGTAGTTTTTAGGGAGCAGGAGATGTTCTACAAGAAGAAGGAGAAAGAAGCTTCTACATAGTCTGAATCTGATGAGAGAATTCAAGTCGAGGTGGAGCCACTTAACAGTACCATAAGGGAAGATTTGGAAGCTGAAGAACCTAGAACAGATGGACTTACAACCCAAGATCATGACTAATCTTTGGCAAGGGACAGAACTAGAAGACAAGTTAGGCCACCAAGTCGCTTTGGCTACGCAGAGATGATCTCTTTTGCACTGATGGCAGCAAATGAAACTGAAGTAGATGAACCGAAGAATTATAAGTAGGCTATGTCAAGAGCTGATTTAGAACAGTGGCTGACAGCAATGAAAGAGGAGATGAGCTCATTTTCAATGAATCAAACCTGGGAGCTAACAGATAGACCGAAAGGGCAAAAGTTTGTTGGCAGTAAATGTGTGTATAAACTCAAAGAAGGAATCCCTGGTGTAGAGAAACCTAGGTATAAAGTTAGGCTAGTTGCAAAGGGATTTAAATTTTCTCTCGAGTGGTTAAACATTGTTCTATAAGAATGTTATTGTCTCGGGTAGCTTAAGACAATCTAGAGTTAGAACAGCTGGATGTAAAAACAGCTTTTCTACATGGAGAGCTTGATGAGAAGATTTTCATGGCACAACCGGAAGGATTTGTACAAAAAGGAAGTGAGGACAAAGTATGTTTAACAAAAGTCCTTGTATGGACTTAAACAGTCTCCTCGTCAGTGGTATAAACGGTTTGATTCATTCATGATTCTGAAAGGTTTTCAAAGAAGTGATGACAGTTGTGTTTATAGTAAAGTCATGGATAGTGGAGCTATAGTCTACTTGTTATTGTATGTAAACGATATGCTAGTGGCTGGAAAAAGCAAGACTGAAATAAAAGAAGTAAAAGACATGCTGAAAGGGGAGTTTGAGATGAAGGACATGGGAGCTGCTAGTAGAATTCTCGGTATGGAGATTACAAGGAATGGACAGCTTGGTGCAGTGTTCATTTCTCAAAGGAACTACATTGAGAAGGTTTTGAAGAGGTTTAAGCTTGATTCTTCTAAGCCCGTCCTAACACCCTTGGCTCAGCACTTCAAGTTGTCAGCGGATAACTCTGCTAAAACTAAAGAGGAGCAGTTGTATATGGAGAATATTCCTTATGCAAGTGCAGTGAGGAGTTTGATGTATGCAATGGTGTATACTCGAACTGATTTGTCGTATGCAGTAAGTTTAGTAGCAGGTATATGGGCAAACTAGGAAAGTTGCATTGCGAAGCTGTTAAATGGATCTTGAAGTATCTTAGAGGATCTTCTGGGATTGGTCTTGTGTATAAAAGTCATGAAGGCAGTGAAAATGAAGTCACTGGTTATGCTGATTCGAACTATGCAGGGTGTCTGGATAGTAGGAGATCCTTGACAGGATATATGTTCAAGTTTTGTGATATACTGTGAGCTGGAAAGCAAACCTACAACATGTAGTGACTCTGTCAACAACTGAAGGTGAGTTCATTGCTTTAACTAAAGCTCTAAATGAAGCTAAATGGATGCAAGGAATAGCAGAAATACTGGGATTGAAACAGCCAGTCACAAAGGTGTTGTGTGATAGCCAAAGTGCAATTCACTTAGCAAGGAATCAGGTCTACCATGAAAGAACGAAGCATATTGATGTGAGACTCTACTATATCAGAAAAGTAATTGCCAAAGAAGAAGTGAAGCTTGAAAAGGTGTCCATTGATGAGAATCCTGCAGACGTGGTTACAAAAGCCTTGGCAGCTCCGAAGTTCAAGTACTGTTTAGAGTTACTTGATGTCAGGGAGGTAAAGCAACTGTAAATTGGAAGGAAGATTAAATCAGCCAAAGGTGGAGAATTGTTGTAATATTGGCTAGATTTAATGTATAAATAGGAAGTCTATGTGGCAAGGTTATATTGGTCATTGTAGACAGTTTGTGTATACTGTGTTGTAGAGTATTATTACTCTAGCCTGTTTAGAAGGTTTAGTCGGTTTTACTTAGGGTCAATATATACTCTGCTACATTACAGATTGGAGAACAGATTGTTGTAGAGAGAGAGAACAATAAGAACTAGAGAGGAGAGAGAAACTCTAAAGTTATGTTCTTGTGTCCATGATCAATAAAGATTTCTTATTCAAAGGTTGCTTTCAATCCTAGTGTGGGTGTATTTTCTCGTTCCTATTTGCTTGTTCATTATTGTGTCTCAAGTGTTACTGTTTGGTTGCCAAGAAAATCTGGGTTTTCCGGGGATTTCTCCAACAAATGCTCAGATAAGGAAGCAAACATCGCATGAAACAGCATTTGGTCTTGTTGAATCCAAAGAGTGTGGGCTGGACTGGGGGTCTGAACATTATTTTGGGTTATGGTAGCTCTGGTCATGGTGTTTCTCCATTGATATAGCCAGTAAGATTATATCCTTGGAGGAGTGATAAAACCTGTGCTCGCCAAGAAGGGTAATTGTTTGGAGTGAGTTTCAATGGTAACTGGCCAGCAGGGTTGATGAAGACAAGTTGCGGTGGTGCATTAGCGGTGGCAACAGGGACAGTGGGATCAACAACTTCAGCCATGGATCGACTCATTAGAGCTTCACACTCTAATACCATAACAAGTAATGAATTGATGAGGGAAAATAATGTTTATTGCTACAAATCATTCTAAGGTTTTGTACAACATTGTATATAGAGTACAACAGAGAACTAAAGAAGGAAAGTGTAAGACTTTTGATATGTACACCTAGAATGAATCAAATAAATTACAGCTATTGTACATCACACAATTCACGGCAATAATGAGGAGATTTGAATCTTCATGAGTTATGAGAAACATTGACTTGATGAGATTTGATTTTCTGAATAATTTTTGTTAATAGTTTGTAGGCTGTAGTGCCTCCTATGGACACTCGTGCTACCCTGGCTGCTGTTTGTGTTTTATCAGCCAAAAAACATGTAATCTTGATTGTGAGACATATTACAATCTCTCTAATTAGAATTTCGATGGGAAAATATTTTCCTAATTGCCATTTTCTTAAAGCCAAACTTGGTTCCAATGCCCTTTATATGGCAGTGTTATGGGGTAGGCGGCTTTTGCAGTCAGGGTGCGATAGAGAGTGGGAGACGATTGGTCCATCAGCATGTTTTGATGAGTCATAACCTATGGTCGCCTCATCTTCATGCTTTTTGCTCGTTCACGTGATGATTTCTTATTAGCACATGATAGTTTTTGATGTGCTATATCCCATGCAAATCAAAAACCATCAAGTGATACTTCTCTCCTTCCAATCAGAGTAATGAAGTCAGACGATCATCGTATTGATACCATTACTTCCACATTTTTCAGTATAATTCAAAAAAGATGCCACACAAGCCCCCATATTATATGACACTAAGACCCCGTTCATTTTACTAATTCGAGTTTAGAATTCGAATTTTGCTACAGTAAAAAACTTTAAAAAACAATCACATTTAACTTTTTTGTTACAGTAAAAAGCTCACATAAAGTCACATCTCAACTCGAATTAAAAATTCGAATTAGCGAACTAAACGGGCTCAAGTCTATGAATACAGAGCACGATTGTTTTTTTCCCCTTTTTTTCAGACTCAAGTACTAAATAGTATCTTTTCTAGTCATATTAGTCTCCAATTATCCTGGTGGTGTTTGAGATGACATTTTACGTACAATCATTGGAGATCGTAGATAGTGGATAGAGATGATGGGATAGTGGTGGTGAAGACTGACTAATTTCTCAGGCAAATCATATTAAGATTTCCCGCAAAATTCAAATTCAAACTATCAATTAGAGGATATCTTTGCTGCATCCATGAGTGAATGAGAAACTATCAAGTTATCTGTTCATCTCCTTCCCATCAAATCAGCGTGAAGAAGTCAGTGAAGAAGTCAAGCAATCGTCATAAGGACCATTCCTTCTAAATTCTGTCTTGCTTTAATACAAATATGATGCCACGCAAGCAACCGCAGAGACACAAGAATCTTTCTTGTTACTTTTTCTTTCTTTTTTTTCAAGCATCATAACCTAAATAGTATATTTCCTAATCATTTATCAATAAAATAGCAAGTTTAGACCAGACTAAATAAACAGACGAACATGAGACTCATCACTATTGGCTCGGACCAACTTGAACTTTCTGGGTGAGATTTTGAGCCTAAAGCTTTTACATGCCCAGAATTTCTATTTGGGCCTGGGCCGACGGCCCAACTTTTACCTAATATGTGAGAATCTTACTCTCTACAAGCCTCCCCAGCATAAGCCAACACTTAAAACAAACTCTTAATCTGAGAATTGAAAAAAAAAATCTTATGAAACAAAAATATATATTTATAAATATTCAATCTCTAGAAGATTCTGACTCTAGCTCTTTCAACGCTGTCACTGTGTTTTCAAGAAACCCCAAATTTTCTAACTCAATGCCAATAAGTAACAGAGATAACGTGTTGTTACATTGTCTTTCAACAGATGATGGAACCAAATTAAGTAACTAGATGTTCAAGCAAAAATCTAAAGTATACTAGATGGGGAATTCTCACATATGAAAACAAGTACTTTGGGAGGACAAATCTCTTACAATGATGCAGGGCCTATTAGAAAAAATATATGGTAAACGGTTTACAACAATTATCAATGGTAGATTGCAGCATAAAATCTACATTCTAATGTGTTAAAAGCTCAATGGGGATGATATCGACGTGATTCCCTTATTCCTGGTTAATTTTCTGTTTCTTTTTCACACTATGGGAAAAATCGAAAGTGAATTTGGCAAGGCTACTATACAGTCAGATTTCTTGTTGCAAGACTTTCTTCTCTTTCGTTTCGAACCCCAGCAAAGTTCCACTTGACTTTCCATCCTATCTATCTTCTTTTTGGTTCCTAGATAGCCTTGACAAGTGGGAGCACCACAATGGCACCTCACTTCAGGTCCAAATTGAACAAATCTACAGTGATACATGTCCAGAAACGGTTAGTGTTTGATCTTGTACCTTAAATAGCAAATTTCAAAGACTTGCTACATAGAATAACAAGTTTTTCACTGTGATCCGTATTTCATGAAATCCAACACTAGTGGAAGTAGAAATTCAAACTACCACTTTCTAGGAATTCTGATGTACCTGTAATCGTATGTTAACGGTTCTCCAACTGCTATCATTCGAGCCGCGAATACACCAACACGTGTCTCCCCCTCAACTTGCCTGAAATATATAAGTCAAAAATATTCATTTCCATTACTTGCAGACAAATGAATAAACCAGTCTATTACAGGGACCAAAATGATATAAAGGTGTGAACGTTAAATTCACTAACCACTTTTCCAGGACACAGTTGGGATCACAGCTGTGGTTTAGAAATCTAGATAAGTTCCCTTTATAAGTTGCGTCAATTGTGAAGTCCTTTCTAATTTCGCACATATAGAAATTATGCACATCTTTGCCTTTCATATCCCAAAGCCTCTTCTCACACAAAGCGTCATCGATAACTGAAACACCAAGTAATTACTTAAGAAAGAACTAAAAGGTTGCAGAAAAATCAAATAATAAACAATAAGCAATTCCTGAATTTTAAATTCAAATGGTAAAATAGGAAGGGGAAATAAACCCAACATGATATTAAGTTAAAAACTGCTGTGAAATGCATGGAAAATACTGAAAAGGTGATTCTCCAATATTGTACTCCAATTATTTATGGGGCCAGTTACAAATGGGATTATACACGCTATAAATCAGAACCTCTCTCATGTTCCAAACTAAACATCAGGCTTATTAGTTGCTAATTACTCCAACAAATGAAAGTAAGTTTTACCTTGAAGACACAACCATGTCCAATTAGTTGCTAATTACTCCAACAAATGAAAGTAAGTTTTACCTTGAAGACACAACAATGTCCAACCAGGTCACGCAATGGAAATCTAAGGGCTTGTTTGGTTCAACAACTCAAACTGTGGAGATTTGAACCTTTTTTGTTAGAACTGTAAAATTTGAATTATGGTGAGTTTAATTGCGATTTGAACCAGTGTTTGGATATGCAAATAAATTGTAATTTGAATTGGAAATAAAATCCGAATTGTGTTTGGATAAAGTGTTGAAAACAGTCATTACAGTTTTGTAAAAAATCTTACATTAAAAAAATATGTAATATGGGTGGGGATTTATTCCTCTCTTCATTATGAACACATTAAAAAAAAATCATCTTAATCCGCATTAAAACGAATAAGTTATACAATTTTTAAGATTGAAATTGAAGAGAGAAAAAAAGCAGAATCTAAAACTGTTGAACTGTTGACAACAATTTGGATTGTTAAAAATTTAGAATTTAGGGGTTGGTGAATTCTAAAAATCAAGGGTTTGAACCATTGTTAATGATTTGAATTGTCCTTCAATTTTCCTCTCCCAAACACCAATTTGAATCCTAAACAACAATTTGAGTTGTTGAAATAAACAGGGCATAAGTTAATGCACACTCGTGCATAGTGCATACACAGAACGCATTTGGGTTTTTGTCCATTTGTTGCAGTTATCACTTCTTTGAAGTCTGACGTTTAGGACCAATGCAACAATAGTAGGGTACTAGCCTTGGTTTTAAGCCTCAGAGACACACGATAATGAATTTCTACATATAAATATATATATATATATAATATGCTTATACACCAAGACTGATTCCCAATTATTTGATACAAATCATGCAATGCACAGTTACACTATCAAAATCCAGTGGCCAGTTAAAAACAATTGTCATTTGGAACAATACTTTTGATAACACTACTAAACCGATCAAAAAAGTTATGATTGTTTCAGCCTACTTAGTTCACTTATTGTCAACGGGTGCCTACAAGTAGTAGTTATTGGAAGTTGTTTGACAATGGGATGTTAGGAATAGATGAAGGGGAGGCCTATATATACGCCATAGAGAGGCTACCTTCTTTGAATCACCACATTCATTGAATCACCACTCATTGAAGAAATCAATCGAATAATTCCTGTTATGGGAGAAAATATGGAGGACACGTGGAGGGAAGACAACACGACACGTGGAGGGAGGACAACACGACACGTGGCCTTACCTTCTCCTCGCAAAGCAGAACCCTCGACGTCTAAAACCCTCTTTCCTTCCGTCATTTAGAGCCCGAGTAAGAAGCCCAACTTAGGGCGTCGGTTTCATCTGACGTCGACAAATCGTGCCGTCGACCTTACAACCTAGAAGTCCACCGCCGAGAAGAACAATTGGGCTAAACAAACACTGACGACGAGGGGAATGCTCCTTGAGGGAAAGCCTGACATGGCAAACTGCGTAAGGGATACCCACAGTACAGGCATTAAATGCGAACCCTTAAAACCGCCCCTACGGGGGACAGAAAAGGGTTATAGCTGTGCACAGAGCCGTAATGGGAGACTAATTGGCTGAGTGAACAGTGCGCAAAAAGTGATTAGTGGGCTACGGGCTGGGCCTAGAAAGGCAGACCACTTGAGTGCTTATTCAGCCTACCAGAGGAAACCCCTCCAACGAAGGAAGCTCGGCTATAAAGGGAGAAGAACCTCATACAAAAAAAAGGTTGATCTTTTCTAAGAAAGCAAGAACGAAAAAGCACATTGTAAATTGTAACATTCTCAAGAAAGAATAACAAATCACAGTGGATGTAGCTCTTCATTTCATAAGAGTGAATCACTATAAATCTTGTACGTTTTTTTGCTTTAAGTATTTTTTCTTATATTGCTTACTACACAAAAAAAATATCACAAGCACATCAAATTCCTACACATAACGTATACTTAAGCCGGTAATCCGACGGGAAACCCAGAGGTAAACCGGCCTGTTTTTGTTGGCGAAAATCCACCGTCAACAATTGGCGACTCCGCTGAGGACCGAACGCATTTGACGCCTAACAACAACATAGTCAGCAAGCATGCCTCCAAGAAGAAGAATTGAGGCCAACAACCAAGGCAGCCAGATGGACGAGACCGCCACTCATCCGGTGAATGACGGGGTGGAGGAGGTTCCGCCCCCGGTCAGAAATGAGGTCCCGCCCCCAAACGTGCCGCGGCCAGATCCTGTGCAGATGCAGGCCCAACTAGCCACTCTAACCGATCTGGTACGTGGACTAATGGCCGTGGTCGAACGCTTGGATGGAAGAAACTCTATCCTACCTTTAGAAGACGCCCCGAGGCCGCTGGGACCTACCATGGCTGAAAATCCCAACCCTGGTGACCGCCCGCATATCTTAGAAGAGATCGGGGATAGCGATAATCAAAGGGACCAGTCTAGGCCCCGACCTTCCCAATCCTCCGGCGGCCGTTTAAGGGCCTCCGGGATCCAAGCTCCCGAGGACCTGATACCAAGAGGTCGGGGAAATCCCGAGGTGTTACCCCAGAACCCAGGAAGAAACCCACCGGGAGACTCAATGTCAGTACAGGCAGGCGGGCAGGCAAGAGGCGGACCCAACGGTCAAAAGGCAGAGGCGTCGAGGGTAGCTGGCTCGGCCATCTCAACAGAGAAGGCGCGCGCCATCATGGAGCGCATGGCCAGCCTAGAGCAGAAGCTCACAGGGGACGTAGCAGGCCTGAAAAAGAACATAGGGCGAGTGGCTGAGGTGGTAAACGTCGACATCACACCTAGCCACACACACGACCACCCATTTACCGAAGAGATAATGGCGCTATCTCTCCCCGACAAATACAGGTCGCCGTCGATCCCACCATATGATGGTCGAGGGGACCCTGACGATCATCTAGAAATGTACAGGGGGCACATGCTCTTACACGGGTATGTCGAGAAAATTATGTGCCGAGCCTTCCGGAACCATTTGATGAACTCCGTCCGAAGATGGTTTCGGACGCTGAGACCAAACTCCATCTCAAGCTGGGATGAGTTGAAGGAAGCATTTTTCCTCCAATTCATAGGGGTTAAGAAATATGTCCCCCCGAAGCAGAACCTAACGACGATATACCAAAAGCCGAACGAGTCATTAAGAGAATGGCTTGCGAGGTATGGGGAAACTGTTGCCGCCACGATGGACATAACGGACAGAGAGGCCCTGATAGGGGCATTATTTAGTAAGAAGAAAATTACCTCCTTCAAAAGAGAGCTGAACCGAAAGCCCACATCCAACTACAAGGAATTTCTTGCGCGAGCGCAAGGATACATCAACGCCGAGGAGGCAGACGCAAACGACCCCGAGCACAGGTGCAACAAGAACAAAGGGACCGAACAAGGGTCGACGCCAGCAAAGCAGGATGGAAAGAAATGTCCTGGTGGAGGAAGCGGAGACAAGCAGCCAGCTGCGACGCCGAGTGCTCCGGAAGCCAAGAAGTCAAGACAAGAAGAGAACCGTAAGCCTTGGCTATTTCAAAGGTACGATTCCTACCACGAACTAACAGTAGGAGTCGAAGAGGTCTTCAATCAGGTCGGCCGCAGAAATCTGCTGCGCCGTCCAGAGCCGATGAGGACAAATCCCAGCCGAAGGAACCAGAAGAAATTCTGCAGGTTCTACGGCAATGTCGGCCACCACACCAACGATTGCGCCGACCTCAAAGATGAAATCGAGAGAGTAATCCGCGAGGGAAGGCTACAGGAGTTCAAAGTCAAACGGAGACCTCGAAACGATAGCCACAGTGGGCAGAATGACAGTCGACGCCGAGAGGAGAACTAACGTCCCGAGGATCGAGAACCCATCGGCGTCATACAAACTGTCCTCGGCGGCCCCTATATAGGAGGAGACTCGAGGAGATCCCAGAAAGATTACGCCCACGAGGTCATAAGGGTTTATCAGGAAAGATTCTGGAGCGTCTCTGCTGCAAAAACCCCACGATATAACAGTGCCGACATGGCGTTTAATGAGGACGACGTCAGCGGAATTCACTTCGCCCACAATGACGCATTAGTAGTGGAAGCCATGATTGGGAACCACACTGTATGCCGAATCCTGGTAGACAATGGGAGCTCGGTGGACCTCCTTTACTCCGACTGCTTGGAAAAAATAGGGATCCGAAATGAGCAGTTGGAGAAGACTTCTAGGCCATTGTACGATTTCACCGGGGACTCCATCATCCCTCAGGGGACTATCCGGTTGCCCATAACCGCCGGAGAAAAACCCCGACAGGCCACGACAATGGCCAACTTTGTGGTAATAAAAGAGGGCTCTCAGTACAATGCTGTAATCAGGAGACCAACCCTTCAGGCGCTAAGGGCAATAACCTTCGTCCACCACCAGAAGGTCAAGTTCCCTACCCCAACGGCGTAGGAGAAATGAAGAACAACCAGTACGAAGCTAGGGTTCCATACTCCAATGCCTTCCGTGGATACGACCAGCCAAAGCGATAGGAGGCCAGGATGGTCTACTACGGCACTGTTGAAGACATAGATCCCAGGATTCAATAGGAGGTCACCTGGTCCCAACTCATCGAGCAATTGGTAGAAATCCGGGTTGATGAAGGCGAGTCAACCAAAGTACTAAAAATGGACTCAAGCTTAGTCCCCTCACTC